TGCCACCAATAAGCCAACAACTCTAGAGCAATATAAAATCTTCCAAAAACTAGAGCTCCAACTACCATCCTTCTACCTATAAAAAGAAGGCACAAAAAAATTAATAAGACTCAAAACATTGCTCTCCCTCAAGAAAGAAGAGCGAGTTATCGTCATCAAATAACTTAGAAGAAATAAGAGCTTCCAAAATTAAAAGCCCCAACCATTCTCCTTCTTCCCCAATAAAGAGAAGATACATCAAAGAAAAACCAACAGAAAGGCTCGATCATCCCAAGAGGATCCTGGCCTACTCCAGAGGCAAAACAAAAATATTATCCCAAGGCTCAACATCGCCACCACATGAGTCATCGAACATACTCGTTCAAAACTCCAATCACCACCCTTTCGCCCAAGTTAAGAGAAGGCACCATCAACATAGAAAAGCCAACAGAAAGGCTCGAATATTCCCAAGCAGATCCTTACCTACTCCAAAGTTAAAACAAAAAATTACCTCACGACTCAGCATCGCCACCACATGAGTCATCAAACACACTCATTCAAAGTCTCCTCCACATTTCCTAATGGAGAATAAAGGCTTCAAGAGCCCATCATCATCAACAGTCAAAAGAGTCCAACCTCCATACCATCAAGGGCTCAACAAAAAAGAAGAAGAAAAAGGAAAACCTTCCATCTCCAGAGGATGCCCAAAAAGAAAAGGCCATGACAAAGAAAGACCGAATAAATCCCCGAGTGGATCATCTCAGAAAAATCTACAAGAAGGAATCAAAAATTCCCATTTCCCAATGGAATAAAGGCTTCACAAAGCCAGCTCGCAGTAACATCAATCAAGGAGCCAAGACTCTATCACTAGAAAAAATCAAATCAAAGTAGGATCCCTAGGACGCCAACTAATTCCCTGGTAGATCACCAAAAAGAAAAACTTTATCCCGAGTGGATACCCAAAAAGAAGAAAGAAGGTTGCGTGCATAAAAGAAATTAAAAAGTAAAAAGGCGTACGCATTATCTAAGAAAAAGAAAAAAAGTAAAAAAGCCAAATTTTAAATCGTGAAAAAAAAGAAATAAATCGCGGAAAAATGCAAAATTAAAAGAATTCCTATTCCCCAACGGGATAAGAGTGTCGGCAAAGCCCGCTCATACCCATAGCAAACAAGGAGTAAAAAACTCCATCCCCTAAGAGGCAAAATCAAAATTAGATCCCTGGGAACACAATCAATCCCTCGGTGGATCATCAAAAAGAAAAATCATCCCCAATGAGCCTACAACAAAGGCAAACTCCTGACTCACATCCTCAAAAGAGTAATTTGCCTATGTGTAGGCAAGACTTGGCGAACAAAGAGTCAATATTCCCAGAATGAGATATCAGCCTATTCAGAGGAAAAACAGCACAAGCGCGAAGCCTTCACCTCTATTTGATGCATCCGCCTACTCAAAGGCAGCAAAATCGGAAATTCCATTCCCCCAGCGGAATAAGAGCTTGACAAAGATAGGTCTCACCAACACCAAACAAGGAGTCAAAACTCCATTCCCCAGAGGGCAACCAAAATTAGATCCCTAAGGAGTCACCAAGTCCCTGGTGGATCGCAAAAAAAGAAAAGAACTTGCCCCCAGTGAGCCTACTGTAAAGGCAATCTTCAAATTCATATCCTCAGTGAATCGTTCGTCTATGCATAGGCAAGACCTGACAAACAAAAGCTAACATCTTCGAAGGGAATATCAGCCTAGTCAGAGGCAAAACAATGCAACTGAAAGTCTTCACTTCCGATGAAGTATCTGCCTACTCAGAGGCACCGTCAGAAATCAACAAAATCCTAGTGGATTCCTACCTACTTCAGAGACATTTATAAAAAATCCCCCGCAATCAACAAGTCGGATGGCTATAGAAAAAGCCAAAAAAACAAAGAATCCTTAGCAATCAACGAGCTGGATGACTATTGGAAAAAGCCAAAAATCAAAGAATCACCAACAATCAACGAGTTGGATGGCTATTGGAAAAAGCAAAAAAATCAAAGAATCCCCGACAAGATCGAATGACTATGAGAAAAGCTAGCAAAAAAAAAGAATCCCCAGCAATCAACGAACTGGATGGCTATGAGAAAAAGCAAACAATCAAAGAATCTTCGACAAGCTCGGATGGCTATGAAAAAAGCCAGAAACAAAGAATCCCCAGCAATCAACAAGTTGGATGACTATCAGAAAAAGCCAAAAACCAAAATCCCCAATACACCGGATGACCACAGAAAAGTCAATTGTCGCTTGAGCGAGTGTTGACCGAATGACAAAACGTCAAACGCAGTTAGCCAAATAATATAGTTTGGTTCACCACATATTAGAATCACTTGTCGCTCAAGCGTTCATAACGTTGCTTGAGCGAGACAGAACCCGAGAATCTCCCATTTTTCCAGGTGTCCTTGCTCAAGCGATGCATTTTTCGCTTGAGTGACCTTAGATAGCGGTTAATAAGAACCACTTTTAAAAATATATATTAGATAGCGGTTAGGCTTTAACCGTTGTCTAACGTATGTTTATAATATCGGTTTTTTTATAACCGCTCTCTTATATCATACTTTTAAAGAGCGGTTGACTCGTGGAACGTTATAATAAATGTAGTTTAGATAGCAGTTGGCCAAATAACCGCTATCTAAAGTCATATATGTCAAAGTGATCGACTATAATTGGATAATAATCGATCATAATTTTCGATAACCGATTATAATTGAGAATGATCGATTATAGTTGGAGAACATCGATCATAGTTTGTGCTAAGCGATTATAGTTTTACATAATTTCGCTCTGCATCTCTCTCGCCGGCGCACGCAAAAGAAACGTTCGTTCTCTCCTGGCATTCGTTCTCTTCCGGCTCTGGTTCGTCTATGTTTAATATTAGGTTATGTTCATTTGGTTTAGGGTTTAATATGGTTGTTGATTTCGGTTTTGAATTTTAATTTGATGGTTCATCTTGTTTGATTTTGTTTGCATTGTAAAGAAGAAGCATACAACAACCATGGAGGTTAATGTATTCTTTGCTTTCTAATTACTCGCAGATTCTCTGTTCTCTGTTTTCGTTCACTGTTGACTATTCTCAATAGTCGTAAACATAAACCATGGATGGCAAAAGAAAAAGCTCCAAGCGCACCCACTCAGAAGCGACTTCTTCAAGTACCCAAACTGTGACCACGAAGGAGGTGATAGCCCCAAAGGTCCTTGACACCCAATACTTTGTTAATAACGAATTTGACTTCATTAGAGATGGGCAAGTTCACACCCGCGTGAGGAAGGTCGAGGTCGAGGTCGACAAAGGAATGAGAAAGTTCTGTGCTAGGAAAATGAGAATCGGAGAAGGAGGAGAGATGGACAAGGGAATGAATTATTTAATAATAAAAATACTGTGCATTTAATATTTTTTTATTATATATGTGTCACTTTTAAGAGCGGTTAACATTTTAACCGCTCTTAAAAGTGAACATATAATAGCGGTTCCACGTTAACCGCTATCTAAAATATACTTTTAATAGCGGTTAGTTCTAGAACCATTATCTAAAATCTCGGGGTCAATTCTCGCTCAAGCGAAGGGTACTTTCGCTTGAGCGAGAAGTGATTGAAATATGTGGTGACCCAAGTTGCATTATGTGGCTAAACGTCCAACACAGTTAGCCACATAACGCAACTTGGGTCACCACATATTTTAATCACTTCTCGCTCAAGCTAAAATACCCGTCGCTCGAGCGAGAATTGACCGGAGATTACCTCTTTGTTACAGATTTCCTCGCTCAAGCAAAGGGTTTCTTCGCTTGAGCGAGACTTGACCCGAGATTACCCCTTTGTTACATATTTTCTCGTTCAAGCGAAGGGTTTCTTCGCTTGAGCGAGAATTGATTGCGCGAAATAATCGATCATAATAGAAAATAATCGATTATTTTAATACGTGAATAGTAAACGTGTGCTAGTTGTGTAAATAATGTTCCGAGATGTGCTATTTTGGAAAATATTTTTAAAAAGAATATTATTTATGAAAAAAAGTCACCTCACCCACCCCTTTATTAATTTATAAATTTATGATAAAATTTTAGATAAGTCTATTTAAATAATTTATTATAAAAATATTTTGTCACAAATCTATCAATATTTGAAATAAATAAATTTATAAATACTAAAATAAATCAGGGTAATCATAAATAATTCATTAAATTAGTAATTATAATACCTTGTTAAATGAGAATAAAAAAGTAATTAGAGGAATTTTTTGTATAGAGTGAAATTTATATAATTGTTTTGAAATATTTTATTAGTAAGGATAGTCATAAATGACAATGAAATTAGTACAAATTATATTATTTATGAATTTAAATAAAAATATAAAGTTTAATTAAAGGATAATAATCTAATTAGTCGAGTAGATTAATACAAATGGACTTCGAAATTAGAATAGATATATTAAAGTTTAAATATTACATTATTAGAAAGTCTATCAATATTTAAATAATTTTATTTATAAAAATAAAAACAAATCATGATGATAATTAAATAATGACATGATCAATATTTTTAAAGTTCTTTATTAAAAAAAATTAGAATACAAAAAGTATATATATATATATATATATATATATATTATAATATAATATAATATAATGCAACATAGGTAATATATAACAATCTTAATTATTTTATGATTTTTTTACATAAAAATTAATTTTAAAAAATAATGAACAAAAATTATTTTGTAATTATAATAATCTAACTTTTTTGTGAACCCAAATTATGTAAAATATAAATTTCTATAATGGACTGTGGCGGGTAGAAGCCCTCGTGATTGACGCCCAGATCAACATTTCAACCTCTGTTAGGTTTTTGTGAATTAGGATTTTTCTTAGACGAGGAACGCAGATCTCGAACCTCCACCACACGGGCAATCTCCGCTTCCGCACGTGCTACTTTGTGCGCAATTCCTTCTCCACTGTCTTCCCAGAGAGAGAGAGAGAGAGAGAGAGAGAGAGAGGGGGATGGTAGGAAGGGTGCAAAAATGGAGATGCGTTTGGAATTCGATTCATCGTTTGAATCGTAGATGCAGTAAGCTGCGGATGTTGCACGAGGGCCCGGACACCGTCGAGGAGCTTCTCGATAGGCACCTCGTCAAAAGCAAAAACATAAACGAAAACGACGAATTGGAGAATCGGAGGCAACTCACCAGCACTCGTCGCGAAGCGCTGAGTCTTTACCGTGACATTATTCGGGCCACCCGATTTTTCATGTGGCCCGACTCCAGAGGCGTCCTCTGGCGCGACGTACTTAGAGACAATGCCCGAACAGAATTCGAACAGGCCCGTTTCGAAACCGATCCGGAAATCGTGACGCGATTGATTATCGGGGGCCGCGAAGCCCTACACTCTGCTATTGATAAGCTCGCCGAGAAGCACAAACATCACATTGAGAAAGATAATCCCTCTGATTCTCATCAACGCTGATTAATTAGGCAGTAAACTCTGTTCTCTTTTGCTGTTCTAAGAATGGAAGTTTTATATGGTTACATTTCATTTCTATCCAAATTTTAATTGTGACTTAGTTTTTGCCCTTCAATTTGATGCGACCATTCTTCACAACGGCATGAACACATCGATCAACCTTTTTAATAAGCGTTAAGCCGCTTTGGTCTATATGATAGTTGAAACGCACACCAAGTGTTTGCGAAAGTGTGCTAATCATGCTTTTTCAAATTATTGTAGACTGTTATTTGAAATGAAAGAAAAGCCATTTTCTTTCTATTTAGGTAACTGGTTGGTTGATTTTAACTCCTCTCCCAGCAACTTCACCAAAACTCTTCATCCTCTAACTAGTTTTACCTTTTCTGTATCCATCGCAGGTTGTAATTGATAAATGAAAATAATGATGGGTTAGGAAGAATATGCATATTGTGCACCTGTATGTTTTTTTGTTTTCTGAAATGGCTTTTGTTTTCTGAAATTGGTCGAGCTACAAGGATTGTATGATAAACAATCAGGAAAGCTTTATGAGACCGAGGAACAACTTATGAAAGTTTTCGAAGATGGTTTCAAGAAAGCTGTGGAACAAGCCAATGTTATTAAGCTCAGTCATTGATACTGAACTCTTTGATTTGGAGAAATCGGTTGTAGATGGCAATTTAGTATTGGACCCATTATAATCTATTTGTCATATGAAATCTTACATTCCAAGTTGTAATTTTATATTTTATAAATGATTTTGTTTTTTTATCATTCACTCGAACAAATGTGACTGATAATATACTCGTAAGCCTTGGAGGCTTGGTGATGCGTTGTGGTAGTCGACGTGGGGAAAGACGTTATACATGTCTTCGTCGGAGAAGGATATTGAATAACGCTTATGCGTCGAGCTTATCGATCCTCCACTTGCAAAAGTTCTTGCTATCGTGTTGAAATTGTCAAAGTTTGAGACTTTATGTTTGTCAATTTGTTATTGTTGCTCTAGTTTATCTTTTTTTTTTTTTTTTTTTTTTTCTATGTCGTGTTCAAAAGTGTTGATTTTCTTATAGTTCCCTTGGTGGATCATTTTTTTTTTATTATTTGTTGGATGAAAGAACGACATTTCTCGGTGTCATAGTCGTGTGCTCGATGGTACTTGCACTAGGTGTTGCGATCTAGGCCTAGTTGTCAGTTTGTTTTTCTTGGTTTGTCTAGTTGCTTCGTGATGTTGATATCACGAAGGTGTCTTCGTTTTGAGGTGTTTAGGGGAATGTCTTGAGGTGCAGGTGTGTTTCTTATGATCGTATGGTCGATAGTGGGCCTCGTCGGCCTTGTACGTCCGGATGCCTTGAGATTTTTCCGAATGTTTATGCTCAGTCCTTTTTTTCTTCGTTTCTCTTTCTTGTCATTGGCTCTTCAACTTCAATGTGTGACTCAATTCTTAATGGTACCCCGATCATGCTTTTGGTGGGTCATTGTACTAGGAATTCATCGAATGGTCATACTCACATTACTTTAACAAAGGTGTCTACAAACATCTCTTCGTTTGGTTGAGGGATTTTGACTGTGACATTACAAAAACGACATAAGTATTCTTTCAATGATTTGTTGCCTTCTTGTTAAATTATTTGTCGTGAGTTGCGATACAAATAGTTTAGAAAAGTCATCAAACAAATTGTTTACCCCGTCAGGGAGACTATAGAACCAGTTAAGAGTTGTCCTAGGCAAAGTTTCAATAAACATTTTAGATCGTACTCCATCAGATGCCCCGCCAATCAACATATGGTTGACGTGATTCCTGCATCATACACATCACTTGTGTCAATGTGTAAAAGGTCTCTTCCTCCCCATTGGGTTGGATCACTATGCTTATGCTTTGTTGTCGAGTAATTATTCGAATATTGATGTTAATTTTTTACGTTTGGGATGTGGGAATAAATTTACCTTACCCCAATATGGCTACCAAAATGTAATGTGTCTTAGTGTGATTAAGGAGATGATTTGTGTGTGTGAATTATGGATCCCATGATACGAGAATCATGAGCTTGAGATAATAATATTAATATTGCTTATTTTTATTTAAGTATTGTGAAAAACTCTTATACGATATAATATTAGTAATATTGTATTTGGACAAAAGTACCTATTAAATATATTTTTAATTTAAAAAGAAATTATTTAGTTGAGTTGTATTTTGAAGCAAAATATTTGTTTGTTTATTATTTTTAAAATAATTTAAAAACCTTAATAAATTGTTTAAGAAAGTGTGGCTTTAATATTTTGTTAGGCTTCTTCTGTTAGCATAATTCTATCATCATACACATTATGTTTATGTCAAGTTCTCCTCCCCCATTGAGTGAGTCGGGTTGTCACGCTATGTTGTTCAGTCAATTTTCGATGTTGATTTTTTAGGTTTGGTAAGTGAGCGTAGTTTTACCTAGTCTCAAAAGGGGTACGAAAATGTAATGTGTCTTAGTTTCCTTATGTGCTGTTAAGGATATTATTTATCCACCTAGTTTAACAGAAATCCCTCTGTATATACGTGAATTATGAATCCTAAGGTACGAGGATAATGAGCTAATATATGATTTAATTACTCTTTTCTTCACATTTTCTATTACATTATTACCGTGGATTGGATCAAAAGTATCATTGGACCTTTAATATGTTTTGCTTGATCATTTGACTGTATTCCCAAACAGTATGTTATATGAGGTGATTCAACTCGATAACATGGCATATACAACTAATAATATTAATATTACTAACTATATTAATACTTTATATAATTATTTTGAAAACTCTTGTAGGAAAAAAATATTGAATTAGGACAAAAGTACGTATTAAATATATTATAAAAGTAGATAATTTAAAAAAATATATGATTTAGGAGAGTTGTATTCTAAAGCAAATTATTTATTTGTTTATTATTTTAAAAATAATTTAAAAAAATTACTTTTACTTTTTTAATCTTTAAAAACTAAAAGGTGAAAATAAATTAAACAAATTCTTAATGTTAACTTAGATTTTATATTTTTCTAATAAATGGTTTAAGTGTGACTTTTATATTTTTTAATAATATTGATTATTATTATTATTATTATTATTATTATTATTATTATTATTATTATTATTATTATTATTATTATTATTATTATTATTATTATTAATTAAGTTCATAAATTTATCCTATCATTTTATTTTAGTAAGTTAAATTTTTATTGGTTTCATATATTTTTAAAGTAAAATATATATTATTATTTGTAGAAGAATAATTATTTAAATTATTAATTTAGTTTTATATTTTTAATACATAATTAATTTTATTTAATAAATGAATAAATAATTTTATTAAAAAAACACAAAAAATAGTTATGAAAAAAATAATGATTTTATATAATGATGTAAATTATTCTTATTATGATAATGATAAAATTTTTATTATTATTATTCTTTTATATTACTATTATATATTATCATACATAAGAGTAAAAAAGAAGGAAGGAAAAATATGCTTTAGAAGACTTAATCACATCCCTCATATGATTCATTTATTTACCGTGATAAAATACAAATACAACGAGTAGATAGAAAGTCAAGAGACTAAAACTGATTTAGAAACCTTGGTGCAAAGATACTTACAACTCATAGGTTAATAATTCAAACACTTCCCCTCAAGTTAGAGCATATAGATTAACTCGATATGATGATCCTTTAACGGTTTTGTTAACACATTTGCAAGTTGATTATTAGATCCAATAAACTTTGTACAAATTTTCTTAGTTACCAATTTTTCCCGAACGAAATGACAGAAAATCTCAATATATTTCATTCTCTCATAGAATACTGAATTAGAGGCAATGTGAAACATAACTTAATTATCACAGTACATTTTAAAGATTTGAATCTCACAAAATTTGAGCTTTTGAAGGAATTGTTTCACCCACACCAGTTCATAAGTGAGAGATGTTATTGTCTTATATTCAACTTCGGGAGTTTATCAGACCATTACATTTTGTTTCTTGCTTGTTTAGGAAATAATGTTTTCTCCAAGAAAAACACAATATTCGATAGTAAATTGTCTGCCAAAAGGGGATCCAACCCAATCAACATTACAATACTCAAATATTTGAGTATTGTCTTTATCTTCATATAATAAACCTTATCCTAGAGTCTTGTTTAGATACCTCTAGATAGGAATGATGACATTTAAGTGGTCAATGTAATGAGCCTGCATGAACGGGTTAACAACACCAACTGAAAAAGACAAACCAGATCTAGAAATGGTAAGATAAATAAGTTTTTCAACTAGTCTTTTATATCTTTTTGGATCAAAGAACGGGACACTTTGTTCCGTCATTAATTTTTTATTTGGATTCATAAGACTGTCTACTGGTTTACAATCAATCATACCTAAATATCTAGTGCAAAGTTCCTTTGAGATATCATAATGCCTTCTCTTGATTGAGTTACTTCAATTCTCAGGAAGTATTTGAGACTCCCAAGATCTTTGGTTTAGTTGAGATAATCTAACAGCATCACTCCTTGTAATAATTATATCATTAACATATACTATTAAGTAAACATATTTATCAGGAGAAGTATGACAATGAAAGACTAGGAGATCTAATTCACTTTGTTTTAGCCCAAAAGCTTACACAATGTGGCTAAATTTCTCAAATCAAGCTCGAGGAGATTTTTTTAAGCTCATATAAGGAGTGATATAGCTTAAAAACCAAGTCTGACTCCCCCTGAGTAACAAATCTAGGAGGTTGTTCCATGTAAATTTTCTTTTCAAGATCATCATGAAGAAATACATTTTCTATATCTAACTGATGATGAAGTGACCAATGATGAATAACAGTCATCATAAAGAATAAACAAATAGTAGTCATTTTGGCCACTGGATAAAAAGTATCATTATAATCAACACCATAAATTTGAGTGTATCATTTAGCAACTAAGTGTGCCTTGAGATGATCGACTTCACCATTTGAGTCAACTTT